GTACATATTAAATATTATTTTCGGTCATGAAACAAGAATAGGATAATTTCGTTTTAAATTAAAAAAGATACAAACACGTTTACGCAAAACACATCCCAACTTAATTTATTCATAAATATTTAAAGATATAAAAAAAATTGGAACACAGAAAATATGTTCGACCGATTTTTCTTTTCCATAGTTTCTATATAACTACCTCAAATAAGATTTCATTTCTTTGAGTAATTACCATTGATAATTAGATTTTTAGAAACAAATTGCAATAAAAAATATGTAAATGTAACCTCAATTGAATAAAATTAATATTAATTTTACAAAGGGCAAACCCTAAAAATTTTTACATTCTAAAAGAGTATCTTCTTTTTAAATGTTTTCAAAAGTATGCAAGTATTTTTTTGGGTGAAGTATATTGTCACTATCATTTTTATGGTTAAGAAGTGCATTTTTGTATGTATTGCTTGAGAATTTCAATGATCATTACTGAGTTTGCTAGACGGGAATAGTTAATATAATCACTGTACAGACCGAGTTGCGAATCAGGAGCTTTCTTTGCCAGGTTTTTATAATTGAAAACGTGTTCTAAAATAAATATTTTCATTGAATTAATTACTGTATTCTTATTGTAGTGAAAAAATACACTTCTCTTTAATGCAAATATTGGGTTGTTCGGAAAGTCATTTCGTTTTTTGTGCGGAACATGAAAGATAGTTTTCGTAATGAATAAATATTTTATTAAATTATATATTGGCCATTCTGGTCCAACACCTTTTGCCAGCTTTCTGGCAGTAACATAATTTCCCTCTTATAAAAGTTTTGGTCCTTGCTGACAAAAAACTGGTTCAGGTGGTTTTTGACATCTTCATTTGAAGTAAAGGTTTTGCTATCCAAAAAATTTTGCAGGGACCGGAACAAATAGTAGTCGGAAGGCGCCAGATCTGGAGAATATGGTGGATGTTGCAATACGTCCCATTCAAGCTGTAAAAGTTTTTGGCGAGTGTTCAAACTTGTGTGAGGTCTCGCATTATCCTGGTGGAACACTACACCCTTCCTGTTGATTAATTCAGGCCTCTTCTCTTTAAGTGAATCATTCAATTTGTCCAGCTGATGACAATAGACATCTGAATTAATCGTTGTATTGTCCGGCAAAACCTTAAAAAAAAACGATTCCTTTGACATGCCACCAAACGGAGAGCATCACCTTTTTTGGTTAATGTAGGCTTTTGACACACTTTTAGCCAGTTCATCTTTTCTGCTCCATTACCTCTTGCGTTTAACATTGTTGTATACAAACCATTTTTCATCCCCAGTAATAATCCGCTTCAAAAATGGATTATTTTCTTGACGTTTGAGGAGCGAATCACACGCGTCGACGCGACGACACAAATTTCGCTCCGTAAGGTCATGGGGCACCCTTTCAAATGGCCATAAACGGCCAAAATCGACAAATTTAATCTCTTACCGATCTCTTGTGTGGTTATTCGCCGATTTGCATCAACTAATGCCTTTATCGCATCTTTGTCAGCTTCGACTGGCCTGCCAGAGCGTGGTGCACCTTCGACATCAAAATTGCAGGATCGAAATTTTGCAAACCAGTTCTGGCACTGGCGTACTGTTAACACGGCTTCTCCATACACATCCGTCCATTTTTTTCTCGCTTGGATAGCATTTTTACCTCTTCTGAAGTAAAAAAGTAAAATATGACGAAAATACTGCTTATTGCTCTCCATATTTAAAAGGGCACCAACCAAAAACTACTGCGTAGAATTAATAGAACTTTTTCACACACAACCCTTGCAATATCAGCTTTCAAGACATATAATGGTTATGCGGCTTAAGTGTGAAGTTGGTTTCGAAAAAACGTAATTAAGTTATCTGAGAGGAAAAAACGAAATTACTTTCCGAACAACCTATTACATGCAGTTTTTGTATTTTATGTTATTTTTCTATAACTATTACTAAACAAAAATGTTAAGTAAATATTGAAATGAACTTTATTGTACATTTTTTTATTTAAGAATATGTTTTAAATGTAACATATGAAATATAAGTAAATTATCTTTTTTAAGTTTTTAAGAAATCACAATCTAAATGAAACGTTTTAGGATCCCAGGCAATTAGATGATTTATATTGGAGTATGTATGTACATAAATTCTAAATGATCAAATAATATGAAACGAGCACTGCCGAGGTTGAGACAGGCTGTATTGCGACATAAGATAGATGCACAAAAAACTGGTCGTAATGCAAAAGTAATGATATTTCCACTTTAATAAAAATTATGAATTTATAATATGGTTATAATACGTATACAAAAATTAATCTTATTTACCTGTGTACACATATGGGGACAAAGAAGTACGGTTATATTATCCACCATACATAATGCTTAGATTCACGCCCTCCAACACACATACGCAACAACTTTAGAAATAGAAAGACGCATTAATAAAGAGTAGGAAAGAATAGAGCGTTATGGTTCGTCGTTACGTGATGATTTTTGCTTGATCACTCTACTGTAGACTGCGTAAAAGAACTTTGGTAATATTCTTTATTAACAATAAAAATCTAGGAGGTTATTGATGTTAATATTGTTATTTATACATAGTATGTATATAATACACAAATTTTGATAAGGTTTTTATAATGTTTAGTGAAAAAAATATCTATAAACCAAGGTTTACTTGAAAGAATGATTCTACAATAATTGTATCAGACAACATCAAACGAAATTTTATTTTATAGAATGTTGGGATTAGTTTACGAAAAAAAAAACATCTACATACACCCCTGCTTCTGTAGTATGGATTAACATTAGTAGCACTTAGCAGTAACATAATAGATATAAAAAACAAGTTAAATGTGTATGTATTTACTTTACATACCTGACCAGATAACTAGCATTAGCGCAAGGACCAAAAGTATTATATTTTTACGACATTTTATTTTATAAAAAATACTAAATTACCTCTGGTCTACACATGGTAAAGCATATCGGTATATAATTTACTTTATAAATATAGATTGTTGGCATCAAATATTGTTAGTATTAAGTCGATTTTTTTAAAACCTAGGTATATTATTATTATTACTAACACTATGTATTGTAATAAAAAAGTATTTCATGGTTTAACTATACCTTTTGTGATAAATGTTATAATCATTAAGACGAATAGTCTCTCATTTTATACTTTTTATAATCATTTTTATATTAACACTATCTGCATAATTACAAAATTCAAGTAAGTAACAAATTTAGAAATACATTTTTATCGATTACATTATTTGTCCGGATTCAAACTAATATTTGATATTCAATATTATATTGCAGACCAATATAGTAGAAAACAAATTGCTAGAACTACATAGATATATACTATATAATCTTTATACGGAATAAATGTTTTAAACATTTCATTCTGAATTACAAATATTTGAAACCTCGATAATGGCTACATGAATAATGTTTGTATGATCAAAAGCCGAATTGCGTGCTTAAGACGGGATTCTTCAGTGATGCCGATATTAGGTCAAGTATTTCAGATTTCTAACATGAATCATGTGATGGCTTCCGAGACGGTTTGCAACAAAACCATCACTGATCGTTTTCTTCAAGGCAAATTATGACACGTTATGTCATTCAAATTTTTATATTACGAAAACTTTTCAAACTTTTAAGTATATCAAAATTATCTGTTCCAATACGTTTTACGGTGAATACTTAAAGGTGATTGTTCAATTAAAATAAAATAACTTTCTTGTGTTTTCTTCTATCAAAAGTGGAAACATGTTTTCATTTATAATTATTAAAAAGATATAACTGTAATTTTAAAATACAATTTATACAGTTATTATGATATACTCGTCTGTCTGTTCTGGCTGATCTCCAACAGAGCTTGACTTAAATATTCTATAGTCACGTGTCTATATGTGATGGAGTATCTGAGATCAATTTGAGGAAGATAGCATTTTAATAAAAGTAATCTTATTATTAACGTAAAATTCAGTCTTTTAAGACGTAAGTAACTTAGATACTACATAAATTCAAAGTTTGGTATATAACTTTTAAAGGTATAAGCATTTTTTATTAACCTGTTAACAATCGTGGGTGGTTTAATAAATGTTAGTAAAAATTAAATCCTTCCTAACTTAAAATTAGATTCCATTTGGTTTCAATTGTTACGTAAGAATGTTAAATATGATTTGCAATTTATCTTACAGAAAGATTGCACGTTTATTATTCAGTTCTTGCCAGGGGTTGAAGGAAATTATGCAAGGTTAGTTTACCAACGTAATACATGTAACATGATACATAATTGAAGGGAATGACCTTTTATATCATAATATCCTTTACATTATTTCACAGATACTATGTTTTAGAACTGAAATAACTTAAAGTTATCGTTTTATTAATTATACCCACGAGTAAATACAAAATAAATGTTACTGAATGTATCTATAGGTATATATTAAAAATTCTTATATGATTTTTTTAATAAGAATGTAAAGTAATATTTTCACAAATAAATTGACAGGTCCTTAATTGGTGTTTATTAGCAAAATTTCTATGGTCTAAAACTATTTTTTAAACAACCATAATATATAGGTAGTGTCAGTTATCATGGTATTTTAATAGTTAATCATAAAAGTTAATAAGTTAGTTATATGAAATATTTCAGAGGTAGCTATTGCGAAACCTTCGTACGAAAGATTTATGGATTTAAAATCGAAATTCATAGACAGACAGCGCGGCGCCTTCCTAGTATGGAGATGAGGACGCGCGAAGAATGCTTACTGTTCTCGCTTCTAAACCTTTTACACGGTCGGTTTTAAAGTTCTGTACTTTAAAAAAAACTGGGTCGGTGATGGTGATTAGTGTCTATTTAAATTCCAAAAATGTTGCGCGCAAGTGCAACGGTGAATGCATTCGCAATGCACCCAGCCGATGTAGGTCAAATCAGTCGACTGTTGTAAATTGGAGGCGAACTTTTAACGAACTTACGACATCGATGAGCTGGCTCAGCTTCAGCTTGATGCAGACGCGAAGGACGTCCGTGTTGTTGACAACAGGACGCACTAGTTTGTTGTAGTTGGATAAGAGATCGTCGTATAGGCGTTTGGCGTCGGGATTGCCGGCGGCGACGGCGCGAACGAGGCAGCAGGCCGCCAGCCACCAGACGAGAGCTCCCATCAGCTCACAAGATCGGCCATCATCACGCGAATACGAGACGTCCACATGCGCGCGGTGCGCGGTACGACTGCCGACACGCCTCGAGCGACCTCCCCCCAACTCGCTACCCTTCACCCTCCAGCCCCTACCAGCGCCCTAACATCCTCGCCCTTACACCCTTGCCCCCTACCAAAGAAATGTCACTTTGGCATTACTCTACGTGAAACTCTCGTATTTCGTTCAAGCCTCCATGTAATCATAGTAAGGCTTTCACAACTTTCAAGAAAATATTATAGCAAAATCTTTAATTTTGAATGATAGCGATTATTATTGTATCTCATAAAAATCAATAATTATCGATGTCTATTATTACTATACAACTTTACATAACTTATATATTTATGAAGAAGTCCTATTAAATAAAAAACAATTTTTTATTGTTTGCGCACATTCGTCTGCATTTCTAGAATTGCTGCTCTGTTCTATAAATATTTTTAGTCGATAGAACGAAGGCTGACTTAAAAAATATAAAATCTGATATCATAAATAATATTCTGAAGGTTAAAGTTATTCTATAGACATTTTAAAACAACTTTTCTGCCATTCTAATAAAGTGCAAATAGAAAGCTCATTTTGAACAAACAAAAATTAAATCAAATATTCATACCTGAAACATATTATACACAAATATAAGGTATGATTCAAAAAAATACAAAACCCTTGTCAAATAAACGAATGATTAAATATATAGATAATTTAGCAGGTGATAAATTTGCCGCGGTTAAACGAAAGCGTTAAATACGGGAACAAAAAAATAATACGTGTTGAGTTTCATACAAAATGTTCCGCAATTAATGCTTTGAAAATTTAACATTGCGGCCTGGGACGTATTATGTAATGCGTCAGGTTCATGACTTATGATTACTTGAGGTTACACATAAATAAAGCCATCTATTACGATGATATACCCATAAATAGTATACATTATTTATGTTACTGTACGTACATTTTACAACTCAGAACTTACATATATATATATATATATATATATATATATATATATATATATATATATACATACATATACATATATATATATATATATATATACATACCTATAAAATGGGCTACTAACTGTAAAATACTGGAATGAACTGAATGTAATTGAAATATTGAAATTGCAGCCTTATTTCATATATGCTATAATACATTTAAATTTACTTACATTGATATATAACAAATATTCTAGTGTAAATTAATACAATTCAAATATTTCATGAAATGATAATAATCTAATTCGATTTGAAGTCGAGTGATAATTCTGCAAAGACTTCAGCGATTAATGTATTTAAATAAAATAAAATATGTATGTAAGCATGAAAAACATAGCAATTACTATAAATACAGTCAGCGGTTTTTAAAGTGAGAAATATTTATAATTTTTATTATAAGCGTATGTATCTATTGTGGTGGCGATTAGCATGATATTTACAGAACTAGGTATTTGCTTTTTAATGCCCTCAAATACCACGCTGGTTCAGCGGTATCATTTTAGCTACCTCTCTCTGAAATTATGTTCTATAACAATTATATAAGATTCAGATTCTGTTACAGTATATAGGTATGAAACATTCTAAAACTTTACAACGCAGAATTTCAGCTTGAAAACGACCGTCAATCCTCCGAGGGGCGTCGGACTAAGCCCATTTAGACATAAATCTAAATAACACTAAAAAGCTTTTCAAAACTCACACAAAAGATTTTTCCTTTCACAACGACTTGTGTCCGTTCCTAGAGCTGCAGATTAAGACGACAATAAGTTGTCAATTTAAAGGAAATATATTAAAAAATCGACAAAATTTTACGAAGTTAATACAAGGACTGAAAATATGTATATAATATTTGAAGATTTTATATATGAAGCTTCAATAGTTGAGCTTGTTTATACATTATAAATATTAATTAATTATCTTAGATTGCTCTTGTAACATAAGCAGACAATATTCAATATCCGTGTATTTGCAATTATCTGTCCAATTTCCCGCAAATTACTCATTAGTAGTGCCATTGGTTTGATAATTAATTAATAATTTAAGCCAAATCCCATTACACTGAACATACCTGTAACTAATACTAATACATATATGTATATTATTTAAATCGATAAAATTTTAGTATTTATTTTAAATTATATTTGTTTCTACAATAAAATACTTTGAGTTTTTCGTAATTTAAATGTATTTTTTTTGTAATCAATCGCGGTCTCTAAAAAAATATCCACACTGAGTGTACTATCATATATTAAAAATTAATTGTTGTTTTAACTTTAAATCACGCACTTCTATATTTTAAAAGAGAATTTTTTTATAATACTGTCAGAGGAAAATATATTTGGACACATTTTTGGAAATAGCTGACAGCTGAATGAACAGCTATCCGATATCCAAACAAATGACAGAAGCAGCGTCTTTTAACAATGTGCTGCAACGTTTTGGCATCCTGCCGACAGAATACTGCTGGAAATTCCCTATGGATCTAAAATTTTGCTTTACCAGCTATTAATTAAATAAATAATATTGTTAAATAAAAGGTACTAAATAAAGCTTTTAGATAGTAGATAGCGTTTACTTTTCTGTTTCGAAATGATTAAATATCATTCGAGTAACAAAATGTTATGATTTTTATATAGGTACATATATATGTGAAATTTCGATACAATTCTATTAAAAGAAACAAATAACCTTTTACTAAAACAACTTCAGTTGTTATCAATAAATTGTGATAATTTTCTCTTGGTTATACTTAATTAGGTCACTATTGTTTACTTAACATAAAATGATGAATTCTACTCAAATAACTTGTTATTAAGTGTAAGAAATATTGATCGTTCAAAGCTATTATTAAGGTTGTATATACACACCATGTTCAACGGTCCCTCAGGGATAAAAAAATGTTGATGGAATTTGTTATATGTAACAAAATCGTTGCTTCAACTCTGTAACGGCTACTGATTGTCATAAAAGTTATCTTAAATAAATATATTTAGTGAAATGGTTTACATATTATAATATATAAATAAAACAAATACATACTAATATGAATTTATGAGAAAAGTTTTTGTATTGCGATCGTTCAAAGTATGTGGTTTGATGTACTTATTAAAGAAATAAATGACAAAAATATTTATATGCGAGTATACTTCATATTTAAAAAAATGTTAAGTTTAAAAAAATATTTTATTACTTTTGTATATAAAAATGCACATATAAATATTTTTCAGGTTATATTTCTAAGAAATATATGTATGAAATAGAAACTAACTAACTAACGTTTCAGTTTCGGTTGCAGGCGAAAACTTAAACCTCTTGATAAAATGAGGGAAATAAATTTGATTGTAATATAAAGTTACATATGAATAAATAAAAAGAAAAACAGGAATTTAGAGCTAAACATTTATTGCTCCACATATACTGTCCACTGGGACTAGAGCAACAATAAAATCCATTGACTACAGCGCTACCACTGTCCACGAGAGAAATTTAAAGCTTTTATCTTCTGAGCGTATGTAGTAATTACATCTAGCAGACACACGAATAGCGACATCTAGCGATTCTTGGCTGCGTTAGATAGCTAAAATGAAAGCCAGTGTATTAAATATGTTACTTCATTGTCGCTTTAATAAAGTTAGTGACTATTGTAATCAAAATAAGGTATTATTATTTTATAAAAGTCTCACAATGGACTCGCAAACAGTACGAATAATTTTTGTTAGTAAATATTGGAAACAATCTGAAAATAATAATTGAACGAAAACTTAAATGTGGATTTTTTAAATTTTTTGTTGGGATTACGGATTTCTCAATTCTGTATTATGGCGGTCGAACATTTGTTTGTGTTCCCTAGATAGTTGTGATATATTTCCCAGTGGAAAAGGAAATATAGAAATAAGTAAGTTTAAGCAAATATTTTTAATAAAAAACAATTTTTGCTTCGTCGTTCTTTAATAATAAATCATTAATGTAATTTATTTTAGGTCAACTTGGGAATAACAAGTTCCATATTCAAACCACCAACCAATTTTACTTTGTAACCGATTGAAAAATGTATCATTAATTATGTTTGTAAAAAATTTGGAATTGACAGAGAAGTATATAAATTATAAGTAAACACTGACCATCATTTTTTCGGTCTGTATTTGATAGGTAAACTTTTGGTCGTTTTGTAGGAAAAGGGTACTTTTAACCAAACATCAAGAAACCTTACTTGAGCCCAGTAAATAAAATTGATAATTGAGTTGTAATTTTTTTGTTAATGAGAAATAAAAATCATAAAGCAATATATATATATATATATATATATATATATATATGTACTTATATTTTATCATAAATATTGCCTGCAGTCAAACTTCCGATACAAACACAAATACACACAGAATATCTTCTTTTCCTTTATTTTTCTTTTGATCACGTCATTATTACGGTATACTGGATTATATTGGATTGAATGGAAAATCTTCGTGGAAATAAAAAGAAAAGATCGTCAAAGCTGTTTTCTATTGCCTGCATTATCGAGTCTTTAGTCTGAGATGATCTCGAAAAATTTATAAAGAACCTCATTCTAAACCTCAATTTTAACAGTCAAATTATCAACAGTAGGAAATAAGGTACTCGATACTTGATACTTTTTTAATCGACTCTTCATTATAGATAAGAGCTAACAGTTAGAGAGCCAGAGCGTATAGAGCGAAAGCATGTCCCACGGTAAAAGTCAATAAATAAAGTCATGATCATAATGATTAAGGTGCGTTAATCTTAAAAGGCAATAGTGTTCTGGTCCATCTTAACACACGATAGTTTTCATACCTCGCCCACGGAATTCAACACGGAAAATGTCAACATCCACAATTGATTGTGATAAGAAAATAGTTGTTAAAGATGAGTTTACTGACCTTAGAATTCAAAATCAAAGAAATATAAATTAAGAACACTAGTCTATTATAAACAAAACAACTGTTCTCA